CCTGCCAGAGGCTTGAGGGAAGCCTCTGCAGGCCAAAAAATGGGCCCGTTTCATCAGTTCTGGTATTTCCGAAAAAGGCCCAAAAATCAGCTGGGAGGTGCATGTATGCTCAGTGAGGTAAGTTTGCCTGGGGCTCGCATGCCCGCACAAATGGCTCTGCGTGCCACCTGTGGCACGCGTGCCATAGGTTCGCCATCATGGATATAGAATGTATAGGATGTTAATTGGCTAAGCTTCTACTGCACAGGTATCAAACTGGCGGCATCACATGACATATCATGATGTTTTTCCCTTTGTGGAGCTGTGGTGGATGTTGCCTGAATGTGATACATCTGGCTCACGGGCCACCAGTTTGACACCCCTTTTCTAGTGGATATGGAAGAATCTCAGAGAAGGACAATAAAAAGCATTTAATCTTTTTCTATAGCTGTCAGGGGCTGACTGCCATGAAAAGGCATAGAGCAGTGATCACCAACCGGTGGGCCACAGCCCACTGGTGGGCCGTGAGAAAATTTTGGTGAGCTGCAGAGAAATCTGACCCCCAGAGCACCTCCCAAAGCAATTAATCCAGGCTGCGCAGAAACACAAGGCTATGCCGCCCACATGTCCCGCAGGAACCCTCCCCGCCCACTCACTCCTTACCCAGTAAACTTGCCTGCTAAATTGCTATTTTTCCTTTTTCCGACCAACATCTGTTCTGCTATGCTGGGAGATTTAGATTAGCTAGGAAGCAGGAAATGGTTGATTTTTTTTGCTTTCTAGCTAGTCTTTAGATTTTCTGCTCAGCACAGCGAAAACTCCCTTAGGACTGAAGGTTTACTTGCAAGCAAATTCAGTGCAGACTCACGGCAAGCAAACTTGAGAGACTGAGCTAGCCGATGGCAGATAGATAGATCACTGAATGATTTTGTGAGCAACTCAATCTGCCTGCTTTGCCTGATTTTGGGTAAAAGTTGTTCTTTTTTTAAATAAAAAATTCAATATTTACATGCATGGTGTGTTGTGAGTTAATTTTGTGATTTTGCTTGCTAGCAAATTTTATGTGACAGACTGAACTAGCCAATGGCAGATAGATAGATCTCTGAATGAATCTATTATTCAGTGAGCAACTCAATCTGCCTGCTTTGCCTTATTTTGGGTAAAAGTTGCTCTTTTTTATAAAAAAAATTAATATTTATATAAATATTTATAATATTTACATACAAGCCATGCCCAGCCAGTCACATGACCAAGTGACATCCACAAACTAGGCCACGTCCACAGAACCAGTTAGTGGTCCCTGGGATCTAAAATTATGAGTTTGGTGAAGTGAGCCTACCCTATATAGACATGTTCATCTAGTTCAGAGGTGTCAAACTCAAGACCTGGTGGCCGGATCCAGCCCACGGGTGCTTAGATCTGGCCTGTGGGGCCACCCTGGAAACAGTGAAGGACTGGCCCATGAGAGGGTGCGCAGCCTGTGGGCAGCCCTCCCTAGCTCCGTTTTTGCTGGCAGAGGGTTGCAGGAGGCCATTGCAGCCGAAAACTGAGCTCACCAGCTCATTTTCTGTGGCAGAACTCAGGCCACCCAACACGGGTGATGTTGAGCTGGCCACCCCACCCTGACCACCCCAACTCTGGCCCCCTGAGGTCAAACACAACTCTGATGCAGCCCTCAATGAAATTGAGTTTGATACCCCTGATCCCGTTGAGGTGCTTAATATATGTTGCTCATTATTCCTCTGTTAAATCCCTCTTGCATCAACTTAAGGGAAAAAAAATTGCAAACAAGTATAACACATATTCTGGTGGGAAAGAAAAACAAAAGGAACTAGACAAACATGTCTCTGAAGCTTATCTGAAGCAGCATTTTAAATTAAACCGGTGGCTGAATCTATTTGCTTTGTAGCACAAAGAAGCTAATGTCTCCCATGAAAAGAAAAGCAATCAGACACTTTCTGGCATTTATCTCCTAATTAATAGTTTTCTTGGACTTATGACAGCCTTCAATTATTTGGCATGGGAATTATATTGGAAAGAGTTGGGAAACCAACATTTGATTTGCAAAGGGCATTTTTTTTATTCATTCATAAGCACTACTATTCAGCTGAAATATTTTTTAAAGCAGCCAGTTTTGCCTTCAGCATGTGAAACTTCACACACGTTGCAAGATTCACATTTTGCTTTTACTAAAAGCATAGTTTATTTACTTACTAAATTCCCCGAGAACTCATGGTGATAAACTCCAACACCAACCCTTTACATCAAAGTGTTGTGGTTGATCTAAATGTGTGAAGCTGTTTACCCAGTGAGAAACACTTAGCTATTGCACTTCATTTGAGAAATATGTAACATGGTGTTTTGTCTTCCCGTGAAATCACATACTTATAATTAATTAATTAGTGGGATAATTAATACCTAAAGGGATTACGATAACATGACAATGTCTGTCAAAAGCTTCAGTTTAAAAATAAATAAAGATGCCTTGAAGTTATGTTGGACTCCTCATGACATTTACGGAGTTAGATAAAAATCATGAGAGCAGAAAAGGAATAGAATCTCTTCTCTGGGAAGTCGGCAATCAACAATCCAGTAAAGTATCTTTAAAATATGCATATACATATATATTTAATAGATTCGGTCTACTTACAATTGCTGTTGGGGTTGCAGCCAGTACACAGTAGAGGATAAGAGGGGAAATGAAGCTTTCATCCTCTGTTCCTGGATATGGTTTCATCAAATTGCTGTCTTGGCAGAAGAAGCCTTGAATATGCACCTGGAAAGTGTCCGTGCACTCGAAGTAGTAGGCGAGCAAGACCGTCCCAGCCATAATAACAAGCTGAAAATACAGCATTGTGACAACGAGACATTAGCAGCTGCTCAGCACTTCTGCCTCTGACAATTGCCATCCTCCATTCTCACTGCCACCCTTCCAGCAGCAATGCCCACATCGGTGCAAGGAATGTGCTGGGATGAATGTCTACCCTCTGGAGGGCTTCTTTCATAAATCGCAAAGTAAGCCCCCCCCCACTTCTACTCCCAGGAAAGTTCTGGGACTACAAAGCACCTCACAAAAGAATAGGAGGTACAACCCTGACTTAGTCCAAAGCATGTAGTTGTTACCAGCAGCGTGGATCAATGCAAATGAAACAGGGCAGCCCTGAACATATACATCCTATCAGTTAAGAAATCTGGGCCGGAATAAACACTCCCCACCCCACAAGGTCGACAAAAGCAACATACAGATGGAAAATAAACCTTGGGGGGTGGAATCTAGTGAGATTTACTCTGGAGGGTGCATAGTGACATAGCCAAGGAGTTTCAGAAAGAAGCGAAGCAAAACAGTGACACTGACAATCCTCTGCTGTTCTCTCTCCACCTACTTCCTATTTTTAGCTCTCTGGAGAATATGCCATATTTTTGGGTTTGAATTATTATTATTTTTTGGGGGGGTGCAACTTCCTGTTGTACTCAGTATCCATTTCTTTTATCATTTTATTTATTTTTAAACCTTTTCCTGCCCACCTCGCCCATTCTGACTGAAACAGGTCTAAGGAGAACATTTGAGAAATTCCAGCTAATTTAGACTAATTTTAAATTAGTCATGCTCCTTCCCCCTGCCCACCATGGAAAGTACTCGGGATATATTTTTTTATCTGATTGATTGTTTAATGTATTTGATTTATGTCTTCCCTTTCTATCCAAGTAGGATGATCAAATTAATAGCATAAGAAATTAAAAGCAACACAAATCACCAATATTAACATTCATACATACAAATAGGATGATCAAATTAAAAGCAGCACAATTAACATACAACACAAATTATTAACATGCAACATCCATAAAATAGTTTAACAAAATCCTTTAAAAGTTCAGAGTATCAGGCTGAAAATGCTAAATTTAAACCCACTTGGAACTCCAGAAATTCCTTTTTCCCCATGTTGTCTGTTAAAAGCTTCTGGCAGGCCATATAAAATAATTACAAGGCTCGCTCAGTGTCAATCTCATTCAGAAAAAATAATAATAATAGAAAGTAGTAAATAAAATAACGGAAGAAAGGAAGCAACAGGAAGAGAGGCATTGATCAGAAATCCAACTGAATGAATTTGTCAATGTTATAAAGAGGCTCAGGATGAACTTAATGGAGATGCAACTGACACAGCACTTCTGCTGATGCCTATTATTGTCTTCCTGACTGAGGAAAAGATACAGAGGATGTCTTCCAAAAGCAAAACGTAGATTTCTCAAAGAGGTGTGAAAGTCATACCCATGGGAAATGTTAAAATATCCTGATATATGTTTGGATACAACTCTGCCAAGCAGAATCCTTACAGGAAATTCTTAACTTGTCTTACTGGCAAACGTTCTCCTTTGGACCTTAGAAGAAAACACAAGAGACTAGCTTTCTTTGACCTGACATACTAGTCATTATGGAAGATGTAGTTGAGAAGTGGAAACCAAAACATTGAAGACAAATGACAATGCCCAAGGACAGAATGTTTATGTTTCCAAAGACATGATTTCAAAAACAATGATCAGTTTGGTCTGTGGTTAGGGCACCCAGATAGAAACCAGGAGACTGAGTTCTAGTCTTGCCTTAGCCACGAAAGCCAGATGGGTGATCCTGACCCAGTCAATTTCTCTCAGTACAATCCACCTATCCAGGATGGTATTGTAGGGAAAATATGAAGAAGGAATATTAGATAGATTCGCTGCTTTGAGTTGTTTAGAAAAAAAATAAAACAAAGGCAGGATATCAATAAAACAACGAACAAATAAAGCAGATTTTAATGAACTCAAAATAACGGTAAGTAGAATCATATAGAAGAAAGTTAATGCAAAAAGTGAGTTTAATATGAGCGGGTTTCCTGAAGAAGGGTATCAAAAACCAATTTTAAAGAGGATGAAAAATGAAGGACAACAAAAGAAATTAAACACAGGAACACAAAAAGCTTAGCAAAGGTTTGAAGACAAAAACAAAGTAAAATGGGAAGAGGGCCACTTCACATATAGCCCAGATCTGTAAAGCTAGTGTCAGGAAACCAAAAATTCAAAATGAGATTAGGTTAGCAAAAGATGCTCAGAATATTAAAAATATGTTCAAAATAAAAGGAAAAAAATAATTAGTATATCAGCTTCTCTGTGAATGGAGGAATGTGTATTCTCAAATGTGTACATGATCAAAAATTGGTTGAGATTAATATCCTACTACGGTAGTAAGTAATTGAAAATTCAAAACAATCTTGATAGACTGAAAAATAAGCTGAAGGTAAGATGATGAAATTTAACAGAGACAAGTGCAAAGTTTTTCACTTAATAACAATAGCACTGAGACTTATACATTATTTCACAGTGCTTTACAGCCGTCTTTAAGTGGTTTATGGAGTCAGCATATTGCCTCCAATAATCTGGATCTTCATTTTACCGACCTCGGAAGGATGGAAGGCTGAGTCAACCTTGAGATGGTGGGAATCGAACTGCTGGCAGTCAGCAGAATTAGCCTACAATACTGCATTCTAACCACTGCACCACCACAGCTCTCAAGAAACAACAATCAGATGCATGGGCATAAGAAGCGGGGATGGCTTGGTAATAGCTTGATAAGGCTACTTGTTAAAAATAAACCCTGGGCATACAAGTTGATGGAAAGTTGAGCATAAAGAGTAGTGTGATGGGGCTGTTAAAAGCTAAATGCCACTTTAACCTCCAACAATGTTGAACTAATTTTCAAATTACTGTTCATAATATGCTAACAAAGGTATAAGTCACAACATCCATTATTTTACCCATGAGGGCAAAAGTGTGTATTCTGAGGTTTTAATTAAACTATGCCAGGGTCTTCAAACTTGGCAAGTTTAAGACTTGTGGACTTCAACTCCCAGAATTCCTGAGCTAACATGGAATTCTGGGAGTTGAAGTCCACAAGCTGTCAAGTTTGACGACCCCTGCCATAGAGCAAAGCATCAAATAAAACTACTTTCTAGAAATCTCTGCCCTTGCATCCTTCACCTTACACAAACTCCTTCAGATTTCTCAAAAGTTTATAAGAGGAGGTAGTGGACAGGAACCTCAACCATCCATTCAATATGAAACTATGAATGGTGCACAACTGGCTTATAGCCATTCATTTAGTGACTGTTGGAACTTACAATGGCATTGAAAAAAGTGAAAATGGCCATTTTTCACACTTATGACAGTTGCAACATCCCCTTGGCCACGTGATCAAAATTTGGATGCTTGGCAATCGGCGTGTATTTATGACAGTTGCAGTGTCCTAAGGTCACATGATCACCTTTGGCAACCTTCTGACAAGCGAAGTCAATGGGGAAGCCAGCTTTACTTAATAACCATGTCACTAATTTAAGTGCAGTGATTCACTTAACAGCTGGGGCAAGAAACTGGGGCAAACTCACAACAACTATCTTGCTTAGCAATTGAAATTTTGGACTCAATTTTGGTCATAAGTCAAGGAGTACCTGTATTTCAGTTCTGGGGGGCGACCTAAAATCAGTTTTCCTTTCCTTTTATTACCTCAAACATATTCCTTTGCTATTATATTTTTAAATTGCTATATATGCCATGAAAAATAGAAGCAGACAAAATATGTCTTTGCTCCTTCACAATGGGACTATTATGCATTGAGAATGCCTATGTTAAATGAGAAATGATACAAATTTCCATATATTCTGTTACTATATAAAGACTGTGTATCACATAAAAGCAAATCAAATCAAAACAAAAACACAACGTACAGCAGCAGTTCTAATGGATTGCTGTAAAGTAGAAATGATGAAAAGAACCACACTGCCTCCTTGTGAGAGAGAGAAAAAAGGCAACCTTGAAAAACATGTTTTTTTCACTTGAATATCTACTGCAACCTCACTTTCCTCTCTCCTTTCTTTTTCTGCTAGGCCAAGTTAGGAGCAATGCCAAACCAAACAGATGGCTGTCTGGCCTAACCATCTGCAAGAATATGCAGTTTAGCTAAAGAATGCTACAACTAGAAAGAGAGAGAAGCACTGTCCTGATTCTTAGGGAAGAAAAACTGAAGGCAACTGCATGAAGACGAAATCTGGATTCATGCAACCTTTGTTTGAACAATGCAACAAACCCAAATGTTTGTTGCATTGTTGTGTAGGGTGTTGTGTAAACTCAGCCCTCAGGAAGAGTAGTAGCTGTCACCCCTAAGGATTTAGATGCTGCGTGGGAAGAAGATTCTCCATTGTTGGTTCTCCACAAAACCCATTCTAGATCCCACACCAAGTGTCAGTTCAAGGCCTATACAAAGGATTATGACAAGATAAAAATAGCCTTGCCTTAAATTAAAAGGTGGTCATCTGTCATGTAAAGGTGACAAGCCACTCAATTTGAGCTGAATTATCATAACCATCAAAGGTCAGAGAGGAATTCAGAAGAATAGACAGCACAGTCCCATCCAGCACAATGGAATCATTATTTCCTTGTATGTTTATCAAGTTTTCAAAAAGCAAATTTCCTGTGTGAATTAAACTCCAATTTATCTAGCTTCCTTCAATTTAACATAGATATCAGGCTTCGAATTAGAACTTTCTTGGGTTTTAATAAAGAACGAAAAAAGGAACATAGCATTAGCACATTCTCTGGAAAGTATATATCATGCTCCTGTGAATGAGAAGTTTGTCAAATGGCACAATCACTAAGAAATTTGCATTTGGACAAACTTCGCTCACATATTCTCTTTCATCCTGTCATGTATTTGAGGAGGGAGGAAGTCTGGATGAGGCAGGGCTTATGTAGTTCATTCCCCCCATTTAATTGTCTATGCGTGCAGACTGGTCACACAGGGCTTTATTTGCA